TAAGCGATATAAGACATGTATATTATGGAAGTATATTAAATGGGTAAAATTCACTGAATAGCTTTGAGTTTGAATATATAAATCATCAATGATTAAATATTAATGTCTCTCAAATACCATGCCATCAACCTGTCCCCAAGGTTAACTCCTTTTGTTTCAGGCATTTTACTTATGTCTAGTTTGTCTCGTCTTTACCAAAGCCGTTGAATTATTAGACAGGCACTCGAAATCACTCGCAGTTACTGAGTGCATTCTACTTTTGATCAAGTGCAATGTGTTCAATCTACATGTTCACATAGGTGGAAGCCGAACCTGAGATAGTTTATAAAGTACAAAGTCTATTTCAATCACAACAATAAAGAATTTTTAAAAGTGAATCATTGAGATAAAAGTCTTGTGTACCTGTCTGATGTGAGTTTGGAGTTGGGGAAGGGAGAAATGAGCTGGACGATCGGGACAAAGGCAAACAGAGTACGTATTGTAGAAACAATATAACATATCTTTAACCATAACTTTCTTATTAGGGGATATTTAAATTTTACATTTACATTTACCAATAAAATTTACTTTTGATTATATAGTGATGATGGTTGTTGAAGACAAATGTTTCATTCTTAAGCTAAAAAATGCTATGATGATATATACAGTGTAGCACACACAGAACACAAAGATTTCTCTTATTTTTGTTTCATTCATAACAATAAAAACTACATTTCAAACCGTTATAAAGTTAAAAGATATTCAGCAAAACATAATTACGTTAAAAACAACAAGAAATTACCAACATGTCAACATAATCTTAATCCAAAATTAAATTCAATAAAAAGAGGACATAATATGAAAAAACAAATTTACACGGAGATTTCTGAAAAAGTACAAGGAGAATAAGACGAGGAGTTCCGGTAGGGTAAGCGTCTTTTGCTCCTTTGTCAATCCAAGTATATAATGTCACGTTCTCAAATGAGAACAAGGAAATTACCAAAATCGTTATCGTAGCTTGAACAGTCATTATACCACTGACGTCACAGACATTGACGCGTTTCAGTTTAGTTTGATGCGGTCAAACATATTGGGTTTCTTCAGTTAAGTACGCTGGTATGAATTAACATTTTTAAATTTACCCTCGATGTCACCGAGGCAACAATTCGAGCACTGGACCAATCTATCGATCCCTGAGATAACAGTTGCGGAAAGGTTTGATTTCGTTTGATTTTGAGGATACACACTTGCGTTCAAACTTTTTTATCCGCTACCTAATTATAAATGTTAACTGTCTCTGTAACTGTAGAGATATCAGCGGTCAGTCACTGAGTTCCTGCTGGCACTCATTTGATAGAGAGTTACAATACCGTATGTTTTCGATCAGAACACAACTTTTCCGTGTGGAAAATTCCTTTATCGCTTTATAATTGATAAATAAAAAGATAAATATATATATATATGTAAATATATCATCAGAGACAACAGGGGGTTATAGCGCACACGTTTCTACAGAAACTAAAATATGTTTTATATCCGTACTGCAATATTGACGAAGATTACCCAGTGTCATATCTTAATTCTTTATTTTCTCTTGAGCATATACATCTCAACGATACAAAATAGCATTGCAGTAGAATGTAGATTAAAAACAGCAAAGGTTACAAAAGATGAACCTTCATACAATCGCTCGAATCCACCAGCCGGTACCACATCATACTGGATGTAAAACTATTTGATATTCTGGCCTTCATTCAGACTAGCAGAAACCACTGGATTGCCGTTACTATCTCCTTCTGCCGGAGAGACTGATTTCTCCTGTCAATTTCTCTCTTTAAGACACGACAGCTAGATTTCCTTGAATCCACCAGCCAGAACCAAGTATTACTTGTAAGGAGAATAAGTGATAAATACCGGCGACACATACCTATTTTCTTGAGACCTATTTGAAATTCTTTGTATACTCTGAATTGTAAATGATATTTTTACTTACTAATGATATACACTCTAAACCGCGTGTGAAATAAATTCCAAATATGTCATCCTCGTGTCAAATTTTCTGTTTTACTCGATAAACTTTACATCAGAAATTGATGATGATATTCAAATGAGTAAAATGATTGATAGTAATCGATTACAAAAGTAACCAGTAGATCCTATCGTCGATATTGGGGAGAAATTCAACTCATTTTCAAAGGTTTTAAATAGTTTGACTACACAAATATGAATGAAAGTACAAAGCTGAATATGACATCCTACATCATTATACCGTGTTGATGGATACTGTCGTTTACGGTCGTTCCTACATTCACCAGAAAATGACTGATCGTCGCTACGAGATTCCTTATCTTAATTGAATTATATTTAACGAGATTTACGTCTAGATTTCCTCGCCGAGAGATCGACCTGGCCGAAATGTTGGCGTCTGTCGTCACTCGGCCGGTCGGCAGGAAAACATCTCTACCTGACTTAATGGCTGTATAAGTTTATTTTGTAATTCGTTCCTATTTTAATGCAGTATATATATATATATATATCAGAAATAAACGTACCATGATGAACATCCGGGTTCTATGATAAAGTCTATCAACCAGTGTTTGTATATAGAGATATGCACTGGTTAACAAAACTTTTAATGATAAAGAATATATAGATAGGGTTGCTTAGAGTTAAGTTACCCATACAACAAACATTACAATTTTTTATTTCCTCAGTTTTAAATTTGGTAGTATTAGTCGTTCTTCTACTTAAAGGACGATAATTTTCAACATCGGTAAGCACAGGATTTGAATTAAGTTTACGGGCATACTTTGCTGGTTTAAGTTAAAAATAAAGATCGAACACAAGTTACAATATATCTCAATTGATTAAGCCTCTCTTTACTGATTGCACGATATAGCAATTAACAAATAAAGACAAAATATGTTCTTGGTGAATCTAGAGCTAACAAACCAAATATAGATCGAAACAGAGGGAAATCGGAAAGATGGTGATGGGGAGAGGAAGTGAGACGACGATAAGAATAAAGAGAGTGGACGTAGAACGAACATTCCACTTGGTGTCCAATTATTTTACTCTTCATCAAGACTACTTTTCCAAGTTTCTAAAATCTCCTAATTCTACAGTATTCCCTGTTTTTACACTCAATTATTTTTCACCACAGTATTGGCTGCCAATACAAAACATAAATTTGAGTTTCGAAAAACTTTTCGTAAGTGCACTTTTATCGTGCATTCTCAAGATGAAATATATTCTACGTGTATTGACTTCTGTCTGTACTTGTATATATTTGTCTTTTTCAATTTCTTTCCACTGTTTATGTATACGAATTTTCTTCTGGTCTCTAATTTGTAAACTCTATAAAATTATAAATCAATTGCGATAGTATAGAAAACGATTTATCGCAATTCGTAAAGTACAACGCCACATTTAAATATTTAGAACGTCTACAAGACTTTTTGAGGATCAAAGTGACATTTTTGCCTCGTTTTTACTTTTTTTTTTAAAAAAATGTTTTAAATGTTTACTTGTGATGAAATATCAGGAAGATAAACAAAACATCCCAGTGATTGTATAACTGTGCTCTGATTGGCTCAGTTTTGATGACTGTTTGTATTGGAGAGCCAACCAGACGACCAGATGAAGTTAAGATAAACATTTGTTGTTATTTGTTAACTTCACGATGTAGGTATTAGAATAATGACCCTCGTCAGCAGCCAAACAGACGAGTCCACGAAACAACTTAATTGATCTGACAAGATGAAATAGTTGGAAACGGAGTCTCTACTGGATGCTGAACAAACGAACCACCCAAACATACGGAGACAGAGCTAGTTAGCTTTAAAAGTCATAAAACTGGTTTTATACTTTAAAAGTACATCAAATTGATGAAGTGTTTGTATCTGGTTTTTGAAGCAATACGCAATCATTTGAGTTTATATTGTTACAAACATTCCACCAACAAAAGACTATGTATCACATGTAAATTCTTGTCTCTTCCTGTCTCGTCAGGTCAATAAATATATTCAGTATAATTACAAACATATATTACAAATTAGACGCCAGCTTCTTAAGCTTGTTCGTATGATCTTTGTGGCGCGAGGACGAACCATTAAATCGTTAATAAAGGGAACCAATTTCTACCGAAAATCTTGAAAAAAAACATGTACTAACTTGTACCATTACATCAATTGATATTTGTTGTGTTAAACAAAGTAAAGATTTATTATCAATATTCATGTTCGTTTCATATCGTGGTATGGCATGTATTTCTCATAGCACAGTAGAATACTACGGAGTAGTAAATGAAAACAGTAACACATATTAGTTAAAACAATATTTTATTCAATATAACAAAATAAACAGATTTTTGCATTTTGGGATAGGTAAACAAGCCACGAGCTTCATGTTAATTCCTTTCCCAATTACATACAACGGCAAATGGAACTTTAGGTCTTGGAACAACTTGTACACATCATATTGTGAATAACAATTAAATTTAACAATTTGAAATAATTTATACATGTGGTGAATAGGATAGATCGTAGAATATGTTTAATAAACAAGGTATATGACGCCGTATTTATCGTTTCCCCATTGAAGATTTGCTGCAGTAAGATTTATGTCTAGTTGCAGCATTGTGTTTTGTCTGATTGAGGTATAATTACTATATGATGATAAGAAATGAAAACTGCTTTTAACGAAACTGCAACTACATAGTGGACTTTCCTCTAGATTTTAATATAGAGATGTTGTTTTAAATTACTATATTGAAGTCGTAATCGTGCATGTAATATTTAAACGGGTCTGTTACAAATGATAAAGTAATGAGGTCTACTACCCTACTTTTTTGTAAAAAAAAACTTTTCAATTTACTGACAGACGGATTTTTACGAACGTCTTCAGGTAAAGCGTTCCATAATTGTATTGAGGAATTTACAAATGAATATTTATATAACCGAGTTCTACAATTAATTGAAAGTTAATAATTTTAGTTGTTAGTAAAATGACTATCGGATACTTTATCTGGAACTAACCAGAACAGACAAGGACGGTGGTGTTTTCTTGTGTTCTTGGACTGAATTAGACAAGTACGGTGGTGTTTTCTTGTGTTCTTGGACTGAATTAGACAAGTACGGTGGTGCTTTCTTGTGTTCTGGGACTGAATTAGACAAGTACGGTGATGTTTTCTTGTGTTGTGGGACAGAATTAGACAAGTACGGTGGTGTTTTCTTGTGTTCTGGGACTGAATTAGACAAGTACGGTGATGTTTTCTTGTGTTGTGGGACAGAATTAGACAAGTACGGTGGTGTTTTCTTGTGTTCTGGGACTGAATTAGACAAGTACGGTGGTGTTTTCTTGTGTTCTGGGACTGAATTAGACAAGTACGGTGATGTTTTCTTGTGTTGTGGGACAGAATTAGACAAGTACGGTGGTGTTTTCTTGTGTTCTGGGACTGAATTAGACAAGTACGGTGATGTTTTCTTGTGTTGTGGGACAGAATTAGACAAGTACGGTGGTGTTTTCTTGTGTTCTGGGACTGAATTAGACAAGTACGGTGGTGTTTTCTTGTGTTCTGGGACTGAATTAGACAAGTACGGTGATGTTTTCTTGTGTTGTGGGACAGAATTAGACAAGTACGGTGGTGTTTTCTTGTGTTCTGGGACTGAATTAGACAAGTACGGTGGTGTTTTCTTGTGTTCTGGGACTGAATTAGACAAGTACGGTGGTGTTTTCTTGTGTTGTGGGACAGAATTAGACAAGTACGGTGGTGTTTTCTTGTGTTCTGGGACTGAATTAGACAAGTACGGTGATGTTTTCTTGTGTTGTGGGACTGAATTAGACAAGTACGGTGATGTTTTCTTGTGTTGTGGGACAGAATTAGACAAGTACGGTGGTGTTTTCTTGTGTTCTGGGACTGAATTAGACAAGTACGGTGGTGTTTTCTTGTGTTCTGGGACTGAATTAGACAAGTACGGTGGTGTTTTCTTGTGTTGTGGGACAGAATTAGACAAGTACGGTGGTGTTTTCTTTTGCTACATTTTGTAAAACTGTAAGATTTTTTGGTTTTCCCGTCGGTTAGATTTTTTTCGCAGCCCACATCTTTATCAAGTAAACTTATACTTGACAATTCTCGCAGCTTCAATCTGGATGTTTTTTTTTTTTAATTTTGACATACGTAGCTTGGTAAATTATCTCAGACAATATCAGAATATTTCTAGTATAGACCAAATAAATGAAAAATACATTGTTTGAAAGAAATTTCTATCGAGAGTATTTGTTTAGGTATCTCAATACAGGTACTCTATGTGACACTTAATTCATCATATACTCACCATGGGTATTACCTGTACCATCGTATGACAACTATTGGATGCAGTGGTATTGTTCATTGTTACAAAATTCTAATTTTCTGTGTTCGTTATTCTGCTTCTTAATAACGATTCTGTTTTGTCTGGGTTGAATTTAGCCAGCCACTTACTTGCCCAATTAGGGTATTTTCAAAAGATCATTATTTAAAGCGATAGTTGGATGTCCGACTTTTATATGTAAGGCCGTGTCATCAGCAAACAGTTTACAATCAACATCGTTCACTATATCATTATAAAGAAAAAAGTAGGGCCTAAAATTGAACATTGAGGTACACCTCATGTGATGCTTTTTGTAATCTGATGAAGAACTATTTATAACGACTTTTTGATTTCTTTCAGATAGATAATTTTCACACCAAGATAACAATTTACCGGAAATACCGGCTACTTCAAATTTATGTATAAGACCCCTGTGCTAAACCCGATCGAACGTTTTACTTATGTCACAAAATATAGCTAAAAGTTTCCTACCACAGCTTAAGTCCTCCCAATATTTTAAGTAAAATCTGATTTACATTTAGTAAGAAAAATTGTTTCTTAAAAAGATATATCTAAAATACACCTTTCCATTAACTTGCCAGCAATACTTATCAAAGATACAGAATATTATTTGAAACAATGGATTTGTTACCTTTTTGGAAGACTGATGTGACCTTTGCTGTTTTCTATATAGAAGGTCTCTGTTTTTGCTTCCTTAATGATTCTAGGACTCACGTTATCTTTGAAATATCTAACATACTTATAGCATCTTTAACATCCTGCTCAGAAATAACAATACTTTCTAGTTTATTGGGAGTGATAATTGTAACATCGGTTATTGTGGCATTAGAGTCATCAATAGTAGACTGACTTGTAAAGTTTATTGGGAGTGATAATTGTAACATCGGGTAATGTGGCATTAGAGTCATCAATAGTAGACTGACTTATAAAGTTTATTGGGAGTGATAAATGTAACATCGGGTAATGTGGCATTAGAGTTATCAATAGTATACTGACTTGTAAAGTTTATTGGGAGTGATAATTGTAACATCGGGTAATGTGGCATTAGAGTCATCAATAGTATACTGACTTGTAAAGTTTATTGGGAGTGATAATTGTAACATCGGGTAATGTGGCATTAGAGTCATCAATAGTAGACTGACTTATAAAGTTTATTGGGAGTGATAAATGTAACATCGGGTAATGTGGCATTAGAGTCATCAATAGTATACTGACTTGTAAAGTTTATTGGGAGTGATAATTGTAACATCGGGTAATGTGGCATTAGAGTCATCAATAGTAGACTGACTTATAAAGTTTATTGGGAGTGATAATTGTAACATCGGGTAATGTGGCATTAGAGTCATCAATAGTAGACTGACTTGTAAAGTTTATTGGGAGTGATAATTGTAACATCGGGTAATGTGGCATTAGAGTCATCAATAGTAGACTGACTTGTAAAGTTTATTGGGAGTGATAATTGTAACATCGGGTAATGTGACTTATAAAGTTTATTGGGAGTGATAATTGTAACATCGGGTAATGCATTAGAGTCATCAATAGTAGACTGACTTGTAAAGTTTATTGGGAGTGATAATTGTAACATCGGGTAATGTGGCATTAGAGTCATCAATAGTAGACTGACTTGTAAAGTTTATTGGGAGTGATAATTGTAACATCGGGTAATGTGGCATTAGAGTCATCAATAGTAGACTGACTTATAAAGTTTATTGGGAGTGATAAATGTAACATCGGGTAATGTGGCATTAGAGTCATCAATAGTAGACTGACTTGTAAAGTTTATTGGGAGTGATAATTGTAACATCGGGTAATGTGGCATTAGAGTCATCAATAGTAGACTGACTTGTAAAGTTTATTGGGAGTGATAATTGTAACATCGGGTAATGTGGCATTAGAGTCATCAATAGTAGACTGACTTATAAAGTTTATTGGGAGTGATAATTGTAACATCGGGTAATGTGGCATTAGAGTCATCAATAGTAGACTGACTTGTAAAGTTTATTGGGAGTGATAATTGTAACATCGGGTAATGTGGCATTAGAGTCATCAATAGTAGACTGACTTGTAAAGTTTATTGGGAGTGATAATTGTAACATCGGGTAATGTGGCATTAGAGTCATCAATAGTAGACTGACTTGTAAAGTTTATTGGGAGTGATAATTGTAACATCGGGTAATGTGGCATTAGAGTCATCAATAGTAGACTGACTTATAAAGTTTATTGGGAGTGATAAATGTAACATCGGGTAATGTGGCATTAGAGTCATCAATAGTAGACTGACTTGTAAAGTTTATTGGGAGTGATAATTGTAACATCGGGTAATGTGGCATTAGAGTCATCAATAGTAGACTGACTTGTAAAGTTTATTGGGAGTGATAATTGTAACATCGGGTAATGTGGCATTAGAGTCATCAATAGTAGACTGACTTGTAAAGTTTATTGGGAGTGATAATTGTAACATCGGGTAATGTGGCATTAGAGTCATCAATAGTAGACTGACTTGTAAAGTTTATTGGGAGTGATAATTGTAACATCGGGTAATGTGGCATTAGAGTCATCAATAGTAGACTGACTTATAAAGTTTATTGGGAGTGATAATTGTAACATCGGGTAATGTGGCATTAGAGTCATCAATAGTAGACTGACTTGTAAAGTTTATTGGGAGTGATAATTGTAACATCGGGTAATGTGGCATTAGAGTCATCAATAGTAGACTGACTTGTAAAGTTTATTGGGAGTGATAATTGTAACATCGGGTAATGTGGCATTAGAGTCATCAATAGTAGACTGACTTATAAAGTTTATTGGGAGTGATAATTGTAACATCGGGTAATGTGGCATTAGAGTCATCAATAGTAGACTGACTTGTAAAGTTTATTGGGAGTGATAATTGTAACATCGGGTAATGTGGCATTAGAGTCATCAATAGTAGACTGACTTATAAAGTTTATTGGGAGTGATAATTGTAACATCGGGTAATGTGGCATTAGAGTCATCAATAGTAGACTGACTTATAAAGTTTATTGGGAGTGATAATTGTAACATCGGGTAATGTGGCATTAGAGTCATCAATAGTAGACTGACTTGTAAAGTTTATTGGGAGTGATAATTGTAACATCGGGTAATGTGGCATTAGAGTCATCAATAGTAGACTGACTTGTAAAGTTTATTGGGAGTGATAATTGTAACATCGGGTAATGTGGCATTAGAGTCATCAATAGTAGACTGACTTGTAAAGTTTATTGGGAGTGATAATTGTAACATCGGGTAATGTGGCATTAGAGTCATCAATAGTAGACTGACTTGTAAAGTTTATTGGGAGTGATAATTGTAACATCGGGTAATGTGGCATTAGAGTCATCAATAGTAGACTGACTTGTAAAGTTTATTGGGAGTGATAATTGTAACATCGGGTAATGTGGCATTAGAGTCATCAATAGTAGACTGACTTGTAAAGTTTATTGGGAGTGATAAATGTAACATCGGGTAATGTGGCATTAGAGTCATCAATAGTAGACTGACTTGTAAAGTTTATTGGGAGTGATAATTGTAACATCGGGTAATGTGGCATTAGAGTCATCAATAGTAGACTGACTTGTAAAGTTTATTGGGAGTGATAATTGTAATATCGGGTAATGTGGCATTAGAGTCATCAATAGTAGACTGACTTGTAAAGTTTATTGGGAGTGATAATTGTAACATCGGGTAATGTGGCATTAGAGTCATCAATAGTAGACTGACTTGTAAAGTTTATTGGGAGTGATAATTGTAACATCGGGTAATGTGGCATTAGAGTCATCAATAGTAGACTGACTTGTAAAGTGGTTATTGAATAGTTCTGTATATTTGTTTATTGTCTCCATAGTTTTTATTATCAGAATTGAGAAGATTGTAAAATTATGAATCACTTTCCACCAATCCCATGTAGACAAAGACGTACAATTAATTGATTTTCATTAAAATCGCCAGTAATTAAATTACGATCACACTTATAATAAGCAACATACCAACAGAATGGTCAATAAGATTGCCAATTCCACTCCGAGAATTCGACAGTCTATCAAACGTTCACGACATAATATCTTATTGTTAATTTGTAGTTCTATCCAAATGCATTCAAGATTATCAATTTCAGTTTCCGGACGTCGAATTGCAGTAATATGTTTGTTGACGTATACGGCAATGCCTCTACTTATCCTATCTGGCCGCGATTTTACAAATGGATCATGAGAGTTTGAATTAAAAAGTTCATCTGATGTGTCTGTGTAAGTGGATAACCAAGTCTCACCGAATGATAAAGTATCATAATGATGTAATTCACTGAAAATTAAATCAATTTTGGGCGACAAACTTTGGACGTTGTAGTATAGTAATGATAAATAATTATGGTTGAGAATGGTAAGTCAGAAAACGAGGAAGAATCTTCGGGATCAGGGTTACTCTCAATATCTCAACACTGTAGACTCTCAATATCTCAACACTGTAGGGGTAGTTTCAGAAGACATCTCTGTAACATAATATTCATTATAGATAAAAAAGATTGTTAGAACTTGTAGTATATAAAAAGTCATGGTATGCTCCACTAGGTACGATTTGGTTGAAAAGACATGTAAGTTATACATAACATATAAATCGCTTTAACATTACGATAGTATACACCTGTGTAGTACTAGAGGAGTCCTCTATTTATTATATTTATATCTTGAAAATGTTTTTCTTGTAGAAGCTGTGAAGAATTACTATGACTTGACCTCGTATGGCAACCGATTTGACCTCGTATGGTAACCGACTTGACCTCGTATGTTAACCGACTTGACCTCGTAAGGCGACCGACTTGACCTCGTATGGTAACTAATTTGACCTCGTATGGCGACCGAGTTGACCTCGTATGGCGACTGACTTGGCCTCGTATGGCAACCGATTTGACCTCGTGTGGTAACCGACTTGACCTCGTATGGCGACTGACTTGGCCTCGTATGGCAACCGATTTGACCTCGTGTGGTAACCGACTTGACCTCGTATGGTAACTAATTTGACCTCGTATGACAACCGACTTGACCTCGTATGATAACCAACTTGACCTCGTGTGGTACAGACCGATTCGGACACGGTTGGTCAAATATTCGGCAGCCATTATATAATATGATACACATAGTCAACATGTCCAAAAATAACCAGTCTTCAGAAAACTAGATTGACATGATGAACAAATGGCGCCAGTCACTCTGATAGTAAATAGAGTTTGGTAGTTGTACTATTACACCAGTGTAGATAAGGTAAGTATCACCACGATAGACAAATGAACTAATGAATGGTAACAAAATGTCTAAAAGATATCAATGTGAATCGGTGAATAATGATACACCGAAAAATCATCGGGTTTGAAGAAAGTCTGTCGTTTATTTGGCCTACTGTTTGAATTACATGTTGTCACATTAAATGCATACATTGTATCTATATATATATATATATATAAACATATCGATATACATTGCTTGTATACACACACACACACACACACCCTCACACACACACATATATATATATAAACATATTGATATACATTGTACATGTATACAGTATCTTAACATTTATAATAATCATCGACTATATGTGTATACCATGAAACATTTGAGGTAAATACGTTGTACTAACTCGCATATAAAATAAATGTAAATGAACGTTATTTTACGTACATATATGTATAACTTCCCGTACGTGTTTGTATATACATACGACAATGTGATATATATATACACTATCATACATACATGTATATATACGACAATACGATACGTGTATAAATATATAGACGAAATTATACATACATACATGTATATACAGACAGGTAGGTACAAGATGAACACACGAGCATCTCCGTGTTTAACGGTCACATGTATTCATCGGATGTGATTTTCTAAAGTACATAAGAATCCTCAACATTTTTATGATTAAATCCGTAATACATTATCTATAAAACACCCATCACCAGTTATGACGCGTATAGCGTGTATGAGTCAGAGAAAGGCCATATTTCTGTCTGGTACGTTTACCAGTACATGTAAATATATGTAAGAGTTTGACATTTTCCTAAATAAAAATACTAGATCTTTTTTAATCATTATATGACGCATAAGGTGTAAAATTTACCTGTAGATATATGTATAACATTTACATTTTCTTTTGTTATCAAATCACCGTTAAAAAGAATTTAAATTAAGGCAACTGTCACGTGAACAACAATATCACCTAGATATATTTATGAAAATTTTATTTTCTTGATTGAAAAATACACAATTTTAAAATCAGATTTGTTGTGTACAACATATGTAAGTGTGAGCTATGGATGATAGTATTTTGTCACATTAAATGCCGACATTGTATTTATGTGTATGAACGTTTCGATATAAATCATACAAGTATACAATATCTTACATTTATCATAATCATCGACTATATATGTACATCATGATACTTTTCAGGGTGTGAATGTAGACAATCAATAAATAAACATCATCTTTCATACTATACAATACATACGAATTTGACATCAAATCAACAAATAATTAAAATTTTATGTCAGAGTAGCCACAGGAACATGAAGAATTATATAATGTAGGTATATGTACATGTATAAAAATGGCATTTGCTTGTGTGAAAAGTACTGGTTCGCTTCAATCAGATAAGGAAACTCATTATAGACATAATAAGTAAAAAAACATATTTTGATACTTTGTAGTACATTTACCTGTGTGTATATTTTTAAAATCCTGTATAAAACACCATATATACCATAAACCTTCTTAAGTACATACGTTGTACTATTTGTACATATGCACATCTGTATTACACGTCCCTGGTTGTACTAACCCGTATTTACGTCCAATAATACACAAATAGACAGATGTACAACTGTATGTGCAAAATGTAGTGACGTTACCGAAAGTAAAACGCAAGTCCGTCCCGATGTTTAGTGAGGTCTTCACTGGCCTCACAATCCCTGAAATTTTACTAGATTTCAAAAATGTCCGTTTAGTGTCATATGATTGTAATAGAGGTCATTATTTATTTCAATGTCTCCTCTTGGAATCGAACCCGGAACCCCTAACTTACTAGTCTGACGCTCAACAAATCGAGCTAAAGAGAAGTTCTCTCTAGCCGAGTGCGGCTAGTTTTTAACCAGGGTTACATGATTTTAACTTTATGATGATGTGACAAGGTTTGGATATTGTTTTGGCAGGGTTTCCATTGCGATGTGAACGTTATATGTCGTCACCGCGAACAGGTATTCCAGCTTTGTACTTGGCATCAATGACCAAAGCAGAGGTATTTTCAGAGAGGGGTTCGGGGATCCCTGAAATTCTGACCGATGGTCTTCGTCTATATTGCTCTAAATAGTTCAGTTTTTGCCGGAGGTCTTGGTTTCTTAGCTTTAGAGATTCAGTTCGGACCTTAGGGGTGTCAGTTCCTTCTGAAACAGGTTAGACCATTCTCCTAATAATATGTGTCTACCGGCCACAGTTATATCTTTAATATTGTCCGGTGAGAGGTTTCCGTTATAGGGCTGAGTATTAGGGGCGTCGTCCGGGGGATAGCCAACGGTATGGGTGTGGTAGTTACCAGGAGAACCAGAGGACAGCGACGTACCCACCGGAAGGTAACTACCAGATTGACGAGGGTACATAGCGTAGTTACCAGGAGGACCAGAGGGAGTCTACGTACCCACCGGAAGGTCACTATCAGGTTGACGAGGGTAAATAGCGTAGTTACCAGGAGGACCAGAGGGCGTCAACGTACCCACCGGAAGGTAACTACCAGGTTGACGAGGATATAACGTAGTAACCAGGAGGACCAGAGGGAGTCTACGTACCCACCGGAAGGTAACTACCAGGTTGACCAGAGTACATAGCGTAGTTACCAGGAGGACCTTCCTCAGTTAGTGATCCCTGTCTGGCTTTCTTACTATCAGGAGTTGTAGATGAGGATGACGAATTCAAAAAATGTTTGTTGGGAGTTGTAGTAGAACCCATCATGTCGGAAAGTATTCAGCATGCAGTTAATAGACAAAATAAGATTGTCAAAGGATGGAACCCGCGCAGTACACGTACTTATATAAACATGCGGTAAACGGGTAGACAACCATGGTCAACAGGCGTGACGAACACGAGCTAAACAGGTACGTGTACGTAATAAAAATTTAATACAAAATTTCAGCACGGAAAACTAACCAAGTGCAATGAAATTCAACGAGCCATTTACGTGAATCGATCCGACAGTCTGTATTTTACCATGGTCCAGCACATTTCATCAAGCAGCAGGCTTTGGCCTTAGTAACTTGTGTAGAATTTCACATTTCTCGCAGAGCGATGTGACAACTTGTTACCAGACGGAAGGCCGGCAACTCCATACATATTCATTGTATCCTGTTAATTTGTTTTAAATTTGAAAATAAAAGAAATAACGAAAAAAGAACAACAGAGTGTGGTGGTTGAATTCTATTTGCTTTTAAACGTCATTAAAAAATCACATTTATTCCAGATAGGAATTAAGTTCTTGTCTGCAATGATGTACAATATACGATAAGAATCGTGTTTAGAGGACTGCTCTCAATGTTGGTAGTCCCACCAATCTATGTAGATTTCCACACTTCTGTCAAGTTGCTTGTAACACTCTACTTCAGATTTACGTTATAAATAGGAGACATTAATAAAAAAATGAACTTGAGATTTTATAGAAGATATCTGAACTATTGTATATTCCTTCCATTTAACAAGCACCTGGGGAGGAAAATGTTTCTCAAGAAATTTCTTATAATCGCAAATAGATTAAAAACGAATGTAAGATTCTGTTTGCGTTATGAGTAGGAAACTTTTGCTATCAATTGCATATGGCGTAATATGTTATGACGTCATAATTGAAATAATGGGGACATTTAGCCAATCACAGCTCCACTAAGTGTTTTACATACATTGTGATAAACATTACTACACTGATAACAGGGAAGGACTTCACCTGATGATAATAAATTTAACAATAGTTCGGCGTCAAGCTCTATATCAGCTTTATATGAGTCCCCGACACACGTGAATAAGGAGAATTTCGTTAAAATCAGTTGCAGAGAAAAGAAATTTTACAGCAAATTGGAGAACCGATCTTTATATATAATTCAGTGTAGTACTTTTATAACCACTGACATTTACTCATTAGGGAGAGAACATATCAAGATGGTGGCCAAACAGATCGGCGAAGGTGGGTGACTGCTTTCAAGGTGCGGTTCTCCTCAATGTCAAGCTTTAGTGATATATTAGTGTGAATAATTCGTTAAATTTCTCTGATATACATCCATGTTGAGTTCTGGTACACAAACTGTCAGAAATATGCGATTTAAAGATAATTAGGCATGTACAAAATGATGTTCCTTAAATACCTTACTACGTTCATTCTCTATCCAAATATGTCCTCTCACTACACGTAATAGAGGGTCCCCCAAATACCCGAGTTCCCCTCGCCGCCATGTTGTTTTGTTATTTTGTCAAAAACTAATAACTGAAACAAATAAACATAGGATGGACAGAGGCTGATGACGAATATATGTAACGATATTTGTAACAAACTCGATCCGGATGGAAAACAACACACTAAAAATTAATTAGATGTGCTTCTTAAACAAAGTGCGATAAACTTGATTCTGAAATCGCAGTTAGGCGAATTTATACATGGATATATTAGAGTAATTATAAGAATTATTAAGATATAGCCATTTTAGTGATCTCACACCAGACGATGAGGAGGATCAGGCAGCAGCCGCCGACACCACTATACCTTTGCCGATCTATTTCGACCGTTATCGTAATAAAGTACTTGTTTGTCCTCTTCCTACAGGGTACACGACAGTGTTAATACGAATTCTGACAATATGCTTTTGTACACATGAAAACATATATTTATAGATGAAAGATTGATTTTAAATGCGATTGTTCCAATAATATCAATTAACCGTGAACAAGTCACTGATACCCGTGAACAAGTCTCTAATACCCGTGAGCAAGTCTCTTATACTCGTGAACAAGTCTCTAATACCCGTGAACAAGTCTCTAATACCCGTGAACAAGTCACTGATACCCGTGAACAAGT